CGAATTTTGAATTTTAATTGGTACTATTATTTTAATATATAATATAATATATGGTCACAACTAACCAATACATTACTGTTTGAGTCTAACTGAGAGTAGGAGGGAGACTCAGGAAAAGAGGGGTAAGAAGAGTAAGCAATAGGATGATCAGGACGGAGAGAGTTCTTTAGAGAGAGAAAGTTCTTTGATATAGAGTGAGAGAGTGAAAAATGCGATCTCCTCACCCACCAGAGTAAATGCCGTATTTATAGAGTACATGGTGGTGGGTGAGTATTTAATGTGACATGACTACTGACATGTCAGGCGGTTAGGTCATGCCTCTACCTAGGACTGGACGATTTGTCCATAATTATACCTAGGACTATGATGTGACCACTCTTCGGGAAATACGATGTTGTTTTCTTGGTTTCTTGGTTTGGTCAGAGTCTGAGCAAAAAGGCGTCAAAAAAGAAAGAAAAAGAAATACTACTTTTAAAAATAGTTCGACATCTGGGTTCTTTGTAGCGCGATCGGCCGTCTCGCGAAACTTCATCCGCGAGTGCGGCCTTCTCCGCGCCCGTGATCCTCCCGCGAGCTGTTCCGCGCCTTGGTTGTGATGGTGCTAACGCGCATGGCTTTCCTGGGACGGTGCCGAGCTTCTTCCTTGGCGTGGCTAGACCCGAGCCCTACCCCCAACAATTACAATAAGCCCTAACATTGGAACCCTAACCCTAAACTCTAAATTGTAAACTGTAAACCCTAATCTTAAATTCCTAACCACTAAATCCTACATATCAAAGTAAATCTTGAATGATTCTTGTGCTAATTCATGCACTTTCTTGACCATAATATCACAAGTGATGATTGACATCATTTTAACATGAATCGCCCGTTTAGAATGACGATTATGAGGAGAGTGCACCGAAGGCACCAAATAAAGTGAGTGCGCCAAAGACAAAACCATGTATATGTATTTATGTACGGATGGTAGCTTCTATCTCACCTCGAGAAAATCTAGGATACCACATACATTGACTAAGAAAATCCTATCTAGATCTTGAATTGTTCGATTTTGAGTATGCAAGCCTATATTTTCCGAGAGTAAGCCACCATATATGTATATTATCTATGGTGACTTCTAGTTTACACGTGGTGTCTACGTTCACCTCAATATTTTTGCAATCATACCCATATCGATTTCATTGCACCTACACGAATACAATTTATTTGAAATTCCAATTCGCGGGCATGATTGCAGTCGTCCATTCCATTGATGCAAATCTCTTTGTTAATTGCATATTGAGCATCATGTACGATTTACAGTTGACTAAATAATATTAATGTATATGGCCCCAAAACATGTTATGTGCGGTGATTACATGAATTTGAGATTCTAACAATTTGAGTTATTGAGAAACACCGATTCAACAAGACCTTATAATCTTTTATGGATGGCCAAAGAAGGTCCCCTACTTCTTGATTACCTCATATAATTAACAAATGATTCAAGGACAAATCATGAATGACTAGTCTGTACAAAACCCAAAATATACTTAGTTTTTCGATTGATTGATATGAAAATAAAAATAATATATGGTAAAAGATAATTCTGCAAAGGCTAAATCGATGAGAAAAAGAAAGACGTCGTCATATACATATGGATTGGAGGTTGCAGATACGCAACCTAAGTGGAGAAAAGCCCATATTCCTAATCTCCACCAAAGAGCTACAAAAATGTGTGTACATACAAATATATGTGCGCATTTCTTGATTTAACACCAAAGTGGCACTTTCTTTCAGGCCTGTGGTATGAAAGTGATTTAGTGACCAAAATGCACATAAAGTCTTTCTGTTTGTCTGTTTTCCCCATTTCTTTCTTTCTAGTCGGGAAATTTCTGTAAAGCAATAATTTCAGTATGATTGAAAGGAAAGTGATGTTACTATCAGTTACCTGTTCTAATGCTTGGGAAAGCAAAGGAGTCATGGAGATCCAGCCGGCCCAAACCATACCCATTACAGGGAATGGGCCGCTTGTATATCAGTATATAGATAGTACATCCATTGCAAGAAAAAAGATCATCTTTGAGTTATTGCAACAATCTTGATTTTGAAAACATTATATCCAAATTCGTTATTAGCATGGTTGATGAGTGCTTAACAAGCACACGTTATTGATGCATCATAGTTGTATGTATTTCTCTACTTGGTTAATTATGGTCTCAACTTGAACAAAATAAAGAAAAAGATAGTCACATGTATTGGAAATCCCAAATTCCAGTTCGATTTGGATCATAACCCATTGATTAGTAACAGTCCCATCAAGTTACGAGGACGGACAAATTTAACAGCTAATTTGAGAAGGAAAAGATGAACTTATGACAAATGTGTTTTTGTGAGTCATCCAAAACCCTAACCATGAGATGAGTCGATCTTATCTGTAACTAGTTTGAATGTGATTTTGAATTTATATACTAGATGATGAAACATGATACAATACGACATGTTTGTAAAATATGTACAAGACAAATACTTATTTGTTAAAAGTACATGGTACAAGGACTTAAAGTGTCAATAACGAGTAAGAACCTTTGCATTTAAGCTTGACCTAGATGAGGGTTTGAGAGAAGAAATGTTCAAGTATTGAATGTTACATGCAAGAGGCCATCCATCCACGTATTCAAGAAATAGTACAAAGATTTAGTCAGAGAACATTGACAATCGTATTTGCAAATGATTTAAGAGAATTTGACTACAATAACATCCCACCTCCCACTTGCGTTTTAGACCTCAACATTAGTTTTGGTAACAACCTACACGAAATTTCATTTTACGAACTGATAAATATGATAACAAAATAAATATTCATAAGTTATGCATCTTCAAAACGAATCTTATATCGATCTTCTGAAAATTACAGACAGGAAAGAAAGAAAGAAAGAGAGGTGGGGAGCAATAAATGCAAAGCCAAAATGTCCTTTGCAGCTAAGAAAAGAGATGGAAGAAGAAGGTAGGGATTTTTTTTTTTTACATAAGCATAGCATTTTAGTCCAAACTTTTTAACCTTTTGTTGTCTGCCCTGGAACACACCAACAAGGCCAACAACCATTATATTGTGTGGGCGGTGATCAGAATGTCCTTCTTTGCTTTACCTCATCCCTTGATTCCATTATTTACTGCTCACACGACGACTTTACAGTTTTACCCCACCTTCTCGATTTGCATTCAATGGAAATGGTGGTAGTTTTCAATTCTCTCTTGACTGTGTGTGGATTGACCAACGTAACTGCCCACTCTCTCTGCCCTTTACAATTCAATCGCCATTCAGCCTGGACCTCATTTAATTGGATTGGCATCTCCCATTGGAAAGCAAAAAAAAAAGATGAGCAGAGAAAGAAAGACAGAAGGGGGGAAAAGTAGTGATCATCGATGATTAGTACGTACATGGTGTTGTAATTATGATCAAGAAAAGAGAGAATGCAATAATTACCTTGCTATCTAGCCTAGGGTTTTTCATGCATTGAATTGAATCAACGTGTATATGTAACTAAACAGCTTTGTTACCAGGACAAAGTTAAAGCCCTAGCTAGCTGGGTTGTGAACTTGTGATATTTCATTTCCTTGAATTCATAGGCGACTAATTGTGCAAAATAGTTACAGAATCACGGCCTGTTTAGAGAACTCTGTTGCAGGCGGGCAATCATGACATGTGATGGGTATTTGACCAAACGAGTTTAGAACCCTTCAATAGCTTTGGAGAAGGAGATTTCTGGTTGAAATCTCATTGTGGATATTTTGAAGAATATCGAAACCCGAGATGGGTGTTGACCAAATCGTGTGTTTTAAATCAACCGCCACTATATGGTTGATTCATTGACCATAGTGGTACACATTTGCTTCAACTTGGGTAAAGTGTCTAGGTATATGAAAAATATTTAAAATTTTCATAATCACTAGCTAGCTAGTATCTGTATAAGCATCCTATGTGACTAGGAAATCGATTGGTGTGAAGATGAAATCTAATCAATTTTAAGTGACCAAAATTTAAATTGTAAGAATTTTCCAAGAACACATTGCTTAAGTTGCTAGATTATGAAATTTGAGGATGGAGATTAAAGTGTTGTTGACATGGATTGTGCACTAATCAACATTAGGAAGAATGCTAGTTACTAAAGGGCAATTTAATTAGTTCTATGCACCATATTTCATATTGTGAGTTATATTGTTCCTAAAATTCCAACACATTGATGATCATGCATAACTCATATACACAAGTCAAAATATATGTCTTTTGTTGAAGTACAATTGTTTCAGCAACAATGCTTGAAAGTGTAAGAGTAATTAAATCCACTTTACTTGGAAACCTTTTTTTTTTTTTTGTTTAGGGTTGATGATTCATTCACTAAAGGGCACAATGTCCTACAATTAGACATTACAATGAGGGAAGGAAAAAGTTTGGAAGAAAAAGTTGTGTGCATGGAGGGATACCTAGCTAGATGTGTTGTCCATGAATTCCGAAGCCCTAAAGTACTAGGCAAGGTTGAATTTGTTGATGAGAGGGTCAAATGCACACGTTATAGAAAGTTAATAAAAGAGAGTCTCAAGAGGAGGGAAAAAAGAAATTCTTCTTCCTTTTGCTCTCTTTCAAGAAGAGTAAAAAAGAAAGTTGGAAAAGGATAAATATAAAGTTTTAAAAGAGAATGGTAAAAAGAGGAACCCAAGTCCCCAAACTTATTTACCCTTTTTACTCTTCTTTCTTCCCCCCTTTTTCTTACCCTAAGATAGGACCCTACCCTCCATATGTCCTCTCTTCCCAAACGTACCCTTGCTTTTAAAACTAAAAACCCATATTAAATTTTTTTTTCTAAAAAACAAAATGAAAAGAAAAACCCTCCTTCTCATTCTCCTCATTCATATTAGTATGATCCTAATAATAATAATTATTATTATTATTCTATCTCTCTATCTCTTTTGCTAGCTATAGAGCAATCTCTCTCTCTCTCTATCCATCTCCCTCAAGTAGTGTCATTTTCTCACATATACTTCACACAAAGGAAACAACCATTCATCACTACTTCATTATACCCTTGTCATTTCTCCCCTTCTCTCTCTCCCTCTATTCATCCTCCCCAGCTTCCTCCATCTCCATCCAACCCACCAAAAAGAAGAACAAGAACAACAACAAGGGAAGGTTTTGATTTTGCTTTTTTGGTACCAACTAGCTTAGCTAGAGACCACAATCACCAGAAGAAGAAGAAGAAGAGGAAAAGAGAGATCGATGGAGCTGTTCCCAGCACAGCCCGATTTGTCCCTCCAAATCAGCCCTCCCAACGCCAAACCCTCCTCCTCCGCCTGGCCTCGCCGGCCGGCAGCCGACGACGACCCCGCCGCCGATTTGGGAGGGTTCTGGAAGCGAGCCCTCGACTCCAGAAACCCCACCGCCACCACCTCCAACACCGCCTTCGACCTCTCCCTCTCCAATCCCCGCCTCCTCTCCGATTCCAACCACCACCATGGAAACGCCAACGGAGCTAGCTTCCACCAACATCACCACCCTTCAACTTTCTACCACCACCACAACCAGCACCAGCAGCCGCCGCAACAGCAACCGTATCAGTATCAGAATCCAAATCACAACCACAACCAGTACCCAATCAGCTTCCAGCAGCAGCAGCTGAGCCAGGAGCTGGGTTTCTTGAGGCCGATTCGCGGGATCCCAGTCTACCACCAGAACCCACCTCCGATTCACCACCAGCCGCATCATCATCTAGATAATAGTAGCGGTAACAACATTCTCCCAGCTGCTGCTGGCGGCGGCGGAGGAGGAGGAGGGGCGGCGGGGATGATGATGAGATCGAGGTTCATGTCGCGGTTTCCGGCGAAGAGGAGCATGAGGGCTCCCCGGATGCGGTGGACCACCACCCTCCACGCCCGCTTCGTCCACGCCGTCGAGCTCCTCGGCGGCCACGAGAGTGAGTGTTACAAAGCTCTTCCCTTTAATCGTTTTTTCTCCACTTTTTAATCGGCTGATTAATACCCATAATCTGGAAAATGAAAGGGGCGACGCCCAAATCGGTGTTGGAGCTCATGGATGTCAAAGACCTCACCTTGGCTCATGTTAAATCCCATTTGCAGGTAACTTAATTAATTAATTAATTAATCAACCAAACTGCTGCTTATCATTATTTTCATCATCATCACATTGGGTCTGTGTTTTTTTTTTTTTTTTTGTTTTGGTGTTAGTATGTAGTAGAGGTAGGCTACAAGTACTCAAGGTTTTAATTAACAGATTAATATTATAATAGTATATTATATTTTGAAGAAGAAGAAGAGGGAGGAGAAGATTGTGGTGGTAGTGTATAATAATACACCTAGCCATAATGAAAAGGGGGGGAATAATTTGAGATTGTAAATGGAGAGCTGGCTAGCTAAGCTAGGTGGGAAGAAGGAAGGGTTTAAATGCAAAAGATCACAAATTCCAAGGCTTCTCCTTTGGTTGTTTTATTATTTTCTTTCCTTCTTCTTCCTTCTTCTTGCTCTGCAGGCAGCAGAGTGAGTGAAGTGAATAAGTGAGTTCTTTTATTGTTATTAGTAGAGGAAGAAGGGTGTTCTCTAAACAAGCAAGCAAACAAACAATCCCTTCCTTCCTTTAGCTCTTCTTTTGCCACTAGATCTGACCATGCTGCTACCTTCCTTCTTCTTCTTCTTCCTCTTCTCTTTCTTACACCATTTCTGCTTTGGAGATTGAACCCCAAAGTCTTCCTTCCTTGCCTGCTCTCTCTCTCTCTCTCAGTCTCTCTCCCATTTGTTTAACGAAAAGAAACCTTGAAATGAAAAGTGAAGTCACTAAACTGAGACATGCACAGAGAAGAAGGACAGAGAAGGGAATAGGAATAGGAAGAGAAAGAGGAGAGTCATCGATTTCAGAAATAATCAAGTAAGACAAACCCACCCAATGGAAAAAAATTCTCAAATAATTGTATAAACAAGTCAAAATTCTGCTTTTTTTTTTTGCCCATCTCTATATATACTAACTAATATTATTATATTGCAACAAGTCATAGCCAGGCCAAGACAATACAATCTTACACCACATTGTCATAGGAAGACAATCTACTGTTTATTTTATAATTCATTTTATTTTTTTGAACAATATCTCTCACCTGAATTGGGTTTGGGAAGAAGGGTTTCTTACACAGATGGGAGTGAGTGAGAGAGGGGGAAAAAGCTGTGGGAAGGAATAGGCATTGAAAACCCAAAACCAAAAGTACAAAAAACACCATCATTTCTCAATCATATATCCTTCTCCTCTTCTCTCTCTCTTTAACCAGAGACAACTCTCCTCTCTCTTTAACCATGGTTTGGTTTTCAACCCACCTTCTCTATTTTATTTTTTTACAGTTTCCTTTTTCATAGCATCTGTTTTTTTTTTTTTTATCTCTGGTCAGAACCCATGATGTAGTTATCTTCCTTCTCTCTATTCACCAGCATCTATCCCATTCATATACACACATTCATGCATGCAACCAAGTGGTGGGAAGAGAGCTGCTTCAGGCAGGCATTTATGCTAAGATTTCCCATTAATAACACAGCCTTCTGCAGTTTGCCATCCATTTGCTTTCTTTCTTTCTCTACTTTCACTTCTTAATTCATTAACTTTCACTCTCATGGTCTCACCATTTCGAGGAAACCCAATTCCCTTCCCCCTTCACTTGATCCCCGTGACACAATTTTTTCCTTCTTGTTGTCATTGTTCGCAAACACCAACTAATGTTGTACGCCACTTTTTTAAACCTCAATGGATTGGACTAGTAGCGACTAGAGCGAGCGTACGATAAGGTTAGCGTATTATGAGGGGTTTTTTACCTTGTTATAAACAATGCGGGTTAAAATTAAATTCTCTTTGTTTCTCTATCTCGTTTGTTGATTGATAAAATAATGGAGGTAAATTTGTTGATTGGTGGCAGATGTACCGGACAGTGAAGACCACTGACAGAGCAGCTGCCACGTCAGGTTAATTAACGATCAAGCCTATCCAATTCAACATTAATAACGGTGATTATCAACTAATTGGGTCTTTGATTTTAATTGTTAATATAATAATGCAGGGCAATCGGACGTGCTTGACAACGGGTCTTCTGGGGACAATACTTCAGAAGATTTGATGCTGGACATACATCAGAACTCGTCGTCGTCGCGGCGACCACCACCGGAAGTAATGTCGATGCTGCAGCAGCCGGGAAGATCAGGCGGCGGCGCTAGTAATGCCGTCGGGCACCAGCACGAGAAGGACTATCATCACCAAGCGCTTTGGAGCAATTCTTCTAGGTCAGTTGCCCCTTATTCTTTCCTACGTCTACTTTAGTGGACTAGTGAAGAACAATGCATTTGATACATACATATAGATACAACTTTTTTTTTAATGAATAATACATGCATATTATTTGTATATGTATTATGGTGAATTGCATTTGATTTTAGGTGTGCATACTAAGCTAAATAAGACGGAAAGCATAATAACAACAACAAAAACAATGATCAAAATGAAGTTCTGAGACTTTTAGAAGTCTAGTCCAAAAATCTAGTTTATTCCAATAACTTAAAATGGTATAAGATTTCACCAACAGATTTTACACAGTTTCTTAAGCCATACAGAAGAGCATTAATCTTAAAGTCGGTAAAGACCCGCAATACGTTATGATGTGCATCAACATATCAATATTAGGGATGCCATAATTCGAATACAAAAGTTCCCGGTTTATGAAAACTCTAATACCATACTTAAAAATAAAATAAAAATAAACGTCTCCAATAATATAAAATCAACATAGATTCCAATAAATGAAGATGTTGCTGAATAATTAGTTAATTTGTGGCTTTAGTTTTCTCTACCCAACATGAATTTTTGTTTTTGGTTTTCTTTTGGGGGAAAAAGGGGAGTTTCATCATCCTAGGCTGATTTGAATGTGGAGATTGATGAGGAATGAGAACTCCAACAAAGAATGTTGAGAGGACAAAAGGAAGATATGGGTGGGTTTTTATTTTTGGCATATCATATCTTTGTGAAAAGGAAAATTCTCTTGTTAATATACTTCTTCTCTATATTCCTCCAGTTTCTCTTTTGAAAATGAACACTTTTGTCCATTAACTTTTGTCCCTAACTTCCAAAAAAGAAAGGAAACAAAGCTAAAGTGAAAGCCCACCCAAAGAAATAAAAAAGACTTTGCCATACTTCTGTGTTGCATGTGCATGTTAGAGATGAATAAAGTAAAATACAGCAAAAACACAAAGGCATAAACCTCTTCCTCCCCCTCCCCTATCTATCTCTCTCTTTTTCAGAGTTGCATGGAAATGCATCTTCTCTGTTAAAAGGAAGGAAGGAAGAATCAAATCAAAGGAAGTACTAAAGCTTTGCTTTTGTATGCATTCGTGAAGGACCCAATTACATCAATGGCCATCAAGATTTAGAAGCATTAAGAAATAGATTGCTTAATTTCGAATTTAAGCAAGCTTGATCCTGTAATTTGACATATTCAACGTCATAATCACTCTAGACATCTTTATCATTTTTCACATCCAAAATATCTATATTACATGTTAACGATACCAAATTCATATTAGACACGACCATGCAGACCAGAACTAACTGGAATTTTCATATTATCATATTAAATATACTAAACCCGACTTCAACCATATTACATGAGAAAAACTATCACATTCTCTTCCTCCCCCTATTCAATAGCTAGATAATTTATCTGACATTTTTTACTATAGAGTTTAGGCGAGTTGACGTATAGAAAGTACTCACCGAAAATGGATGAATTGAATATTGGGATAAAATTGTATGGAAGATCAAAGTTAGCTAAGTGATTTGTTAGTTGCACCAAAGTTCAGGTACCATTCATGTAATTGACTCCATATATACCAATGCCACATTGGTAGAAATGGGTTTTGTTTGTATGTGTGTGAGCATTCCCAATAAGATTGAGAGGATCATCCCTAGCTATGATGGGGTAATTATTCAAGCATAGGATCGACTGATCATCTTGTTGGGTTTAGCTTGGTAGTGGGTGAGGAGTGGAAAGGTAGAATTTTTTGAACAAAAAGCCAAGGAAGAAGAAAACACATCTCCTCCCATTCCAATGCATGGAAAAAGGGGGTTAAAATCCACCTTAAAAAATTTGGAGATATATCTCTTTCCTCTGGATTTCGTGGGCTCAGAGAGAATTAAAACCAAAGGGAAGAAGAAAGAAAAGGGACCCTCCAATTAGATAACTTAGTGTCAAAGCTAAACCGTGTAGATGGGGTTTCATTTGATGGGTAGCTAGCTTGGTGCCAAAGCTATATGCCCTTTGAATAAAAACTTCCTTTGTGATATTTCCCTTTCCCTTTCCCTTCTCTTTTGCTGCTCCTTGTGGATATCACATGGTTGGGTTGGACATGATATTTCTCAATTACCCCTAAAAATATTGATTCAGCAACTAGAGAGATAGAGAGAGAGAGAGATTTGTGAGTAAAAGGAGAAACCAAATTGGAGGGTGATATGAGAAAGAGAGAAAGCAATGATGGGTTGTTTCCCTTTTCCTTCTTTTCATTCATTCTTGCATAGCTCTTTGCTAGCTTTCTGCATGCATGCATTGCTGCTCAGTGATGAGAATAATATACATTCTTCCCTTCAATTCTGTTGGGTTTGTGAAGCAGGGAAGCTTGGTTGCATGGGAAGACAAAGGACTCCCCTGGAAGTTTGCCATCTCTTGAGGTACCATATGGGATATTGACATATATATACATCCTTCTATATATGTATGGTGTCATTTTACTTTTATGTGGGAATAAGTGACCAATTTGAAAAAGCAAAGGCATACACACACAACTGCTTTATTTCCCTTTTCTTTTCTTTCCTTTCCTTTTACCTTCCTTTTTTCTTTCAGTCATTGGCTTAGTACAACAACTACAAGAGAAAAAAGCCTTTCAAAAGCTGGTTTTTTTAGGTGGTGAAATATTTGAGGGGGAGACTTACTTTTTGTAATTTTGAAATGGATATAGCCATAGGCAAAGGGGGGAGAAAGCTTTCTTGCAAAATGCACCTAGTAGAGAGAATAACATTTTTTTAAAAGGGTTTGCCCACCATTAGGTTAGCTAGGTTAGTAGCCTTAACTCACAAAAACAAAACTTCAGTTAGCTAGCGAGCCTTGAGTTTTGAAGCCCATTTGTCTGGATGATCAAATTGTACATTAGTAACCAAAGGGGAAGAAACAAGTCAAATTGAGGTTTGTAGTGTTTAACATTGATTGGATTTGTTGGGCTTTCTTTCTTTTTAGGTTGAGTTTGTACATTGTCTTTCCTTTGGGGTTTCACCCACTTCGTACATTTCTCAGTTTGATTTTTCGTGGATGCAGAAGGAGATGGATGCAAAATGTATGAGCTATGAGAGAAGGTCAGAAGCAAGTTGTTCATCAAGCCAGCTTTCAGGGTCAAGAAGCCCCAAGAGGCCAAACTTGGAGTTCACTTTGGGCAGGCCACATTGAATGGAATGACATGCACTCTTTAGTATAAAAAAAAAAATTAGTTTATTATATAAATCGAACATTTGATTAATTTTTATGATCTCATTACATATAATATCTACAAAAAAATATCTAATATGAAAATCTCCACCCTCCCCAATGCAAAATGAAAAAAAAAAAGGAAAACCTGTACCATTTCTTTTTTCCTTCAAGTTTCATGGCAAGTAAAGAGGGTAGAATTTTAGTTGAGTCCTTGTGAAGAAGAATCAGGTTCTCTAGCAGTAGCAGCAGGGAAGGTGAAATCATACTTGTTTATGCTTCTTCCAAAAGAAAAACCAGAAAGAAGAAAGAAAGAAAGCAGTTATGGGAAAGAAGAAAGACAAGCAGACAAGCAATGCAGAAAGAAACAGAATGAAGGAGAGGAGAGAGAGGGAGGGAAGAAGAGGGACCATGAGAAAGAAGAAAGGAAGCAATATCCTCTGAGTTTTGTTAATAGATTCTTCATTTTTGTATGTACCTCAAGCTCCATTGATGAGTTCATAGGAACTCTGGGCTTTGAATTGCTCCCTGTGAGTATTCAGTACATGTATGAGTGAGTCGTTTATGGCAGAGTGCCAGAGTTATCATTGTTGACAATCTCTTCCATTATCCATTCTTTTTAGAGATGAATTGTTCGAGTGTTTCCCGAATTCGTCGATCATCTCGTGCATTAGGCAATCCTTCCCAGATATCTTGTCACAGGGCCATGACCTAACATTGGATTTGAGCTGATGAGAAGGGTTTGTTGCACAGTTAGAAAGTGCAAGTGTAGATGAGTATTTCAAGCCTTTGGCAATCTAGCTAGCTTAGCTTCTCACATTTGCTAGCCTAGCTCCATTTCCCGACATTTTGCCCCTACATTTCTCCCCATCGGAGTATATGAACAACGGAGATTGATATGATGGTGAGAAATGAAATAGAATATAACATCTCAATCGTCATAAATTTAAGTATTGTATTGTAAATCGTTATTTTTTAAGTAATGATTTTTCGGCAAATAAACTACTATATACCATAGAGTGATTACATTATTCACTTACAATCATAATTAAACCAACGACTATAAATGTATGCTTTACCTTAATACAGCAAAAAAATCCTCCTTTAATTAACTTTGGCCCTTTCCCTTCGTCTTTTGAGAAAGATATCATTCCATGAGCAATTCTTTAGATTAAAAAGCTGTGAAATGAGACAAAAACTTTACTAAAACATCCTCTTCAAACTTGTATGCTCACGAGTGCTTTTATTTCCCATTCACTTTTATAAATTTATCGCATTTACAAGTATAAAGTGGAGAACTACGGAGAAAACATAAGTTTATTGCCCATTCATTTTGGAAACAGACTCACAGTTGGCTATTCACTTGGTGAACAACATGACAGATCCCCTTCACCCCATGTGATTCTCCTAACGGTTATTAGGCGCAAGATTACTCAGGACTGGGTGGTAAGTCTAATTCATACTTACCGGGAAGGGAATAGAGTCGCGGACTGACTCTCGAAGCACTGTCTTGTCTATCCCTACGGTATGCATGAATTGGATACACCGCCAAGTGAGCTCAGCATCCTTCTACAGGAAGATGAGAGAGGTGTCACTGATAGAGGAAAATAGGGTAGGGAATTGAGAAGAATAATTAGGGATTTGAGGAAGAATTGGCGAAGAACAGAGAAAAGAGGGATTTAGGGATTTTGATATTTTTATTGCTTAATCTCAAATGAACTTACTGAACCCTCTTTTATGAGTTTCAGAAAGCTAACAAGAAATAACAAACTGCCACTCAACCCGGCCCACATGGCCAAACCCAACCTGCCCTACCCGTCGAGCAGGTCTCTATCATCCCCTTCCCCATAAGAAATAACCTTGTCCTCAAGGTCAAATGTCGGGAATCGCTGCCGGAGCGTGGCCGTCTCCTCCCAAGTGGCATCCTCCCTCTCCATATGCTGCCACAGAACCAAGCTCTCCTCCGTCAGGCGCCCGCCTTTCTTCACCCATCTGGTATCCATGACCTGCAAGGGGGTTAGCTCAAGATCCCCATCTACTGACACCGGCGTGGCTGTTGTCTCCACCCGGTCCGCCGCTCCTCTGTATCGCTTCAGTAATGACACGTGGAAGGTGGGATGGACGCGCGCATCGGCTGGCAACTGCAGACGATATGCTACCGATTTAATCTTCTGTAGTATCTCATAGGGCCCAATGTAACGAGCTGCCAACTTCTGGTAGGCACGGCGAAAGACGGAAGCCTGTCTGTAAGGGTGGAGACGAAGCAGAACCCAGTCCCCTACCTCGAACTCCTCCTCGCGACGTCCTGCATCGGCCATCTGCTTCATCTTATTGTTGGCGGCCGCCAGGTTGGCCTTGAGCTGCTCCAAGGCCTCATCCCGTGTTTCTAGCCAGCGATCCACCGCATCTACCTAGCTGGTGTCACTCTGGTAGCGGACCAAGGAAGGTGGAAGCCTTCCATAAAGAGCCTCAAACGGCGTAGTCTGGATCGCCCTATGGTAAGTAGATTTATACCATAGCTCAGCCCATGGCAACAGAGCCAACCACCGCCTCGGCTGCTGATGGGCAAAGCAGCGTAGGTACTGCTCCAGGTAACGGTTAACCACCTCCGTCTGGCCATCTGTCTGTGGATGATAGGCGGAACTCATCCGCAGTGTGGTCTGGACCATAGCGAACACCTCCTACCAGAAGCGGCTCAAGAAAACGGAGTCCCGGTCACTGACAATAGATCTTGGAAACCCGTGATGTCGCACGACCCCCATCACAAACTACTCTGCCACTGACCGGGCTGTGTACGGGTGTGCCAGGGCCATGAAATGGGCATATTTCGTCAGTCGATCAACGACGACGAACAGGACCGTCTTCCCTCCGGAGGGGGGAAGGCCGACGATGAAGTCCATATTGATGTCCTCCCACACCCGCTTGGGTACCGGCAAAGGGTGCAAGAGGCCTGTCGGTATCAGATGAGACGCCTTGACCCACTGACAAGTATCGCATGACACGACATAGTCCTTCACGTCCTGGCTCATCTGGGGCCAATAAAACTGTGCCCGGATCCGCCGCAGCGTCCGCTCGATCCCCGAATGCCCTCCAAATGGAGAGTCATGATACTCCTGCAGCACGGTCGTCACTAGTGAAGATCCCCGCGGAAGGACAAGGCGCCCACGGAAGAATACCAACCCTTGCCGGAAGGAATAATGGCCGGGAGCTTCACTGACTGTTGTATCCCGACAACCCTGCAGGTATACATCGGTCTCCATAAGAGCCCATAGCGCATCCCAGAACTAGGGGACCGACCCTGTCACTGCTGCCAATACCTCGCCCCTAGAACGCCGCGAGAGCCCATTTGCCACGACGTTGGAGGGACCCGGCCGGTAATGAATCTCATAATCACACCCAAGGAGCTTCGAGACCAACTTGTGCTGATCGGGAATGGAAACTCGTTGCTCCAAGAGGTTCCTCAGACTCTGATGGTCGATGTAAATGTGGAACTTCTAGCCCAGAAGATACGGTCGTCACATCTGCACTGCTGTGATGATGGCCTGCATCTCCTTCTGGTAAGTAGACCAAACATCCTTGGATGTAGCTGAGGTCTTACTCATATAGGCCACTGGGTAACGATCCTGAGATAACACCGCCCCAATACCTCGGACCGAAGCATCCGCCTCAATCACGAAAGTCCGGGAGAAATCCAGCATGGCTAGGGTCGGAGTGGTGGTCATCGCCTGCTTTAGCTGCTGAAATGTCGTATCTGCTTATGATGTCCATGCAAACCCGCGCTTCTTCAACAGGTTAGTCAGGGGTCGGGCGATCATTCTGTATCCCTGCACAAACTTCCGGTAGTAACCGGTCAAACCCAGGAACCCTCTCAGCTCCGAGACAGTGGTTGGGGTTGGCCACTCGACCATAGCCTGAATCTTTGACTGATCCACCTGGACCCCCTGTGGTGTGACAATGTGGCCCAGGTACTCAACCTTCTGCACCCCAAATGCACACTTCGAAGGTTTGAGGTGGTACTAGTGGCGCCGTAGAATCTCAAACACTGCCTGCAAATGCATCTCCCAAGATGGACTGTAGACTAGAATATCATCAAAGAATACCAGCACATAGCGTCTAAATAGAGGTCGAAAAATGTCATTCATAGCCGCCTGAAAGGTCGAGGGGGCATTGCACAAGCCGAATGGCATGACCAAGTACTCATAATGGCCATTATGAGTCCGGAAAGCGGGCTTGTGCGCATCCTCCTCCTGCATCCCAATCTGGTGGTACCCTGCTCGCAAATCGAGCTTAATGAAGTAGGCCAGTCCGTGGAGCTCGTCGAGCATATCTTCCACCGTCGGAATCGGGAATCGATCCTTCACCGTCGCGGCATTGAGTGCCCGGTATTTCGTGCAGAATCGCTAAGTCCCATCCTGTTATAAACGCGCTGCTACGGATCGGGAAATCGCCGGAATCGACAAAGCAAGAATACGAAAGAGAGAATCGAAAAACACAGACACACGATTTACGTGGTTCACTAACACGATGTGTGTTAGCTACGTCCACGGGCGAGAGAGAGCCAGTTTCATTATATCGAGGAGATTACAGATTACAGAGGAGTATGAGAAGTATTTATAGTACTTCTCCATGTGGGTCTAAACCTAATCCAATATGGCAAAGGAGACCCCCGATTACCAGTCGTAGCGGCTGATAGTCCGATTACCAGGCAGCGAGACCCCCGATTACCAGTCGTAGCGGCTGATAGCCGATTCAAGTCATATCAACAAATCTCCACCTTGACTTGAATCCTCTTCCTCTGAAATCTCTGATGTACTCTGCTCCTTCTCTCTCTCCCGCCATCAATGCCCCGTAGGGCGGAGTCACCCACTCAAGACATTCAGCAAGTCCAAGCAGTGTTGGAACTTGCCATGTGGAACCGGCTTCGTGAACATATCAGCAGGATTATCCGCGGTGCCAACCTTCTTCACCTTAATCCTCTTCTCTGTCCTCAAGAAATGATACCTCACATCGATGTGCTTAGTCCTCTCATGGTGGACTTGATCCTTGGCCAAGCATATTGCACTCAAACTGTCGCAATACACCACTGCCTGATCATGATGTAGACCCAGATCACTAACCAGTCCCTTCAACCATATTCCCTCCGTAGCAGCTTCTGTCAACGCCATATACTCTGCCTCAGTAGTAGACAATGTCACCGCCGACTGCAAAGTTGCCTTCCAGCTCACTACAGAACTCCCAAGAGTGAATACATAACCGGTCATCGATCTCCTCGTGTCAACATCTCCAGCATAGTCCGAGTCAGAATACCCAGACACCAAGCACTCTGTATCACTTCCGAAGCTAATCCCCACATCAGGTGTACCCTTAAGGTACCCGAAGATCCTCTTCACAGCCTGCCAATGCTCCTTCCCAGGTTGTATCATAAACCTGCTGACAACACTAACAGCATGTGCAAGATCAGGTCTAGTGCATACCATAGCGTACATCAAGCTACCTACTGCACTAGCATATGGGACTCTCGACATGTACTCCTTCTCAGCCTCTGACTGCGGTGCATAAGCTGAGGATAGATGAACATTTGAAGCACTAGGAGTATTTAAGGGCTTTGCTGAAGACATGCCAAAC